GCGCCCTTAACCTATGGGATCTGATGCATATATGTCCAGGTTAACAGTGCCAGAATTGAATTATAGGACACCAAGCTGGTGTCTCTGTGAGAATTACTAAGTTTGTGTGGTGAAATACCCCCACATTACAGTGTCAGAGAGTTTAGTAGTGTGGCTAGAGGGCAAGAGAGGTTTTTTTTCCTCTCAGAGTCACCTTTTCCCTCCTCCTCTTTCACCAAGTGCAAGCTTGAGTCTCCTGAAATGCCAGTTTAAATACTTCCCAAGAAATGCCAGTGAGGATTGCAAATAGAAGTTTATACTTATGAAAGAGCTGGGGCCTCTGGGGCCTAGAGATCAGCTGAATGGTGCTCTTGTAGCAATGCCTTACAACATTGAGATCCTTAGGAAGGGTGTGTGTGTATCTGGGATGGGGAGAATGAGGAGGTGTTCGGGGGATCAGAAGATCTTACAGTAGCTCCACAACTGACAGATGAGATTAAAACTCCAGCAACAGGAAAAGTCAGGGCCACTGACAATTGGAAATATTGGCATGAGGCACAGAGGCCTCTTGGCTGGATTAGGACCATATGGGTAATAGGCTGACCCCCCCACAGCTGTTCATCTTGTAATTAAAGTAAATCTTGCACCTGTGAAACAAAATTAGCTCAGGAACCAAACACAACCACTGGTAAAGTACATTTGTTGCTTTGAACACAAACGCTTTACTATCAAGAGGCATCTAGTTTAAGCAGCATTTGGGTTTGGAGGAAAGGCTAAACGATTTCTGGCTATTAACTCTTTGTCACCTGAGCTGATTTAAAAATAATTCAAAAACTCAAAAGGTTTCCTCAATAAGCTAGATGCAAGTTTTCCCTTTAAGTATTTGCTTTAGTAACTGAATGAGATTCTATTTGAAGGGTACAACTAAAGTTGGTCCTCAGGTAACTTCCTGTGAGGTGACCTTCAATGGTATGGTTCCGTGGAAAGAACACTGGATTGAGTGACTGAGACCTTAGTCCGTCCCATCTCTGCTGCTACTAAGAGAACTTGTGCAGATCTTCACATTTCTCTACACTGCTCTGATGTACAAAATGGGGAGATTGGACCAGAGCACTAAAGCTCAGATTTCATGCAATGTATAATCAAATCCTTGAACTCACAGAGTAATAGCAGAGATTATCAATGAAAGTGGCTTCCGGCCGGGCATGGTGGCTCACACCTGTAATCCCAGCATTTTGGGAGGCCGAGGCACACGGATGGAGTTCAACACCAGCCTGGTCAACATGCTGAAACACTGTTTCTGTTAAAGATACAAAAATTAGTGGACACAGTGGCACGTGACTATAATCCCAGCTACCCAGGAGGCTGAGGCACAAGAATCGCTTGAATCAGGGAGGCAGAAGTTGCTGTGAGCGGAGATCGCGCCACTACACTCCAGCCTGGGAGACAGAGTGAGATTCCATCTCAAAAAAAAAACCAAACTGGCTTCCAGTGAATCTGTTTCAAATATCCATATGGAAGGAGCCATATTCATGAAGACTTCAGCTGTTTAAAAATGCTAACATGTATAAAGTGGATCCACATTATCTTTATAGAAACTATCTTGCATAGCTCAGTAATCTTACTTACTTGCTAAAATGTCGGTCCCAAGATCTGGCTTCAAGATCTAAGTATGCTCATCTCTCAATAAAGTGGGTGTCTACTTACATGCAGAATTTTTCACAACTCAAGAGACAAGTCATGTTGACTCACTAATTTACAATGTATTATTTTCAAAGTATGTCAAATTCTTTTCACTTTAGGGCCTGGCCATAATTTTTTAAATGTCTAAGTATTAGTGATTTTGTCACAATAAATAAGATTTAGTTGTGAATGAACACTATGTATCTTGAGTTAATTTTAATAGAAAATCATCCAACTATAAACCTCTAGATTTAAAAGATGGAAGAGTCTCTGAAGAAATGGACAAATAAGGACTAGGGCCTTCTCAGGTGAAGAATGCTCAAGGGACCCAAGCCTCAAATAGAATTGCTGTGGAGCCCAGTGCTGCTTTGCTGAAAGTGAAAAGGTTCCAGTAGTCAGATTTAATGACTCCCCAAAAGGGTTATTAAAAATGGATCCAATTCTAACCACCTCTATTGCGTTCAAGAACACTCAGGCATGTGAAGCCAGGGATGGAAGGAAAAACCAGTCATCCTGCTGCTAGTTACCCTTTGAATAGGCATTTTTCCTGATTTCAATATTTGGAAATAAGCTGATTTAACCATATGGGTGGCTTACAAGAATTTAGAAAAAATAGCATTTTAATTTAGTTTCAAGAAATACCTACAACAATGTAAGCCTCATTCTCAAAAAACAAACAAACAAAAACAAAAAATAAATCCGCCAGGTGTGGTGGCTCACGCCTGTAATCCCAACACTTTGGGGGGCCAAGGTAGGCAGATCACAAGGTCAGGAGTTCGAGTCCAGCCTGGCCAGCATGGTAAAACCCCCGTCTCTACTAAAAATACAAAAATTAGCTGGGCATGGTGGCAGGCGCCTGTAGTCCCAGCTACTCAGGAGGCTGAGGCAGGAAAGTAACTTGAACCCAGGAGGTGGAGGTTGTGGTGAGCCAAGATTGTGCCACTGCACCCCAGCCTAAGCAACAAAGCTAGACTTCGTCTCAAAAAGAAAAAAAAAATGGCCAGGTGCAGTGGCTCACGCCTGTATCTCAGCACTTTGGGAGGCTGGCGGATCACCTAAGGTCAGGAGTTCAAGACCAGCCTGACAAACATGGAGAAACCCTGTCTCTACTAAAAAACAAACTCCAAAAACCCCAAACATACCCTCTGACCCCAGATTAACCTTTATTTTTACCTTTATCTGAATTTTTCTAGCTACTTTATTAATAGAGATATCTTTTAAACCAGAAAAAAGAACAGACTAAAAATGTCATATTACTACATCTTAATACCGATGTTGGAAAAACTGTGGGCCAGGCATGGTAGCTTGTGCCTGTAATCCTAGTGCTTCGGATGGCTTAAGTGGGAGGATTACTTGAGACAGGAGTTTCAGACCAGCTTGAGCAACATAGCGAGACATGTCTCTACAAAAAAGAAAAGAAAAGTAGCTGGGTGTGGTGTTGTGAACCTGTAGTTTTAGCTACTCGGGAAGCTGAGGAGGGAAAATAAGTTCAGCCTAAGTTTGAGGTTACAGTGAACTATGATCGTGCCACTGCACTCCAGCCTGGGCAACAAAGTGAGATGCTTTCTCTTACAAGCACAGCAAGAAGCTGAAATTGAAAAAAAAAAAAAAATACTGAGAGGCTGAAGCAGGAGGAAGCCAGGAGGTGGAGGTTGCAGTGAGCTGAGATGGTGCCACTGCACTCCTGCCCGGGCAACAGAGTGAGACCTGGTCTCAAAAAAAAAACACCAAAATAATGGTTATTTCTGGGCAACTTATGGGCATCTTCATTATATATTTTCCTAATTTTCTGTAATGTATAGGTACTAACCTTTGATAAGTGCAAAAATAACCTTTGATAACTGCAGAGCAGTCACTGTGGCCAGTGGACAGGGAACTCTGTGGCCAGTCACTAGAACCTGGGGAGCACTAGAGGGCACCACTGTTCCTCTTAGTCCATACGTGGAGATGTGTGGTGCTAGGACTCAAAGACGGTGTCCAGAGGGAGAAACTTCCTTCTTCCTAGGTCTCACGCTGGGTGGGACAGGTTCTACCTGACTGGATGATGGTATTTTTTCTGGTGTTTTCCCCCAGCTCTGAGTAATACTGGGTGAGTGCCCTGTTTTTTTCAAGGGAGAAATACCAGTTGTCTTCATGGTACCAACACCCATTCCCGTTCCATGGTCAGCAGAATGACAGTGGAGGTTCACTCTTCTAAAGGAAAGTCCCTCTGTGAGTCAGAGTCTGACCTTGCTCACCAGGCCACAACAGGAGACTGTATTTCTAATCTGGTGCCAACCTCCTTTCAGATGTTTCAGAACCATGACATCTGTTTCCAGAGCAGTGAACAGTGGTGATGTCTAGATGGATTCAAGTCCCCTGTAAAAACTACCTGATCAAAGAGCAAAATGTTGTTGGTCTTCTCGTACAGTAAGAAGTCAAATGACCCTAAATCATTGTTCCTCAAAGAGTGATACACAAAACATCTAACACGTCACAATCACATAAAGGGTGCTGGTTAAAAACAACTGGACAATCCCAGGCCCATTTAAATCTTATTTAAGGTGCTCTTTAAGCTAGGTGTGGTGACTCACGCCTGTAATCTAAGCACTGTGGGAGACTGAGGAGGATGGACTTGAGGTCAGGAGTTCTAAACCAGCCTGGCCAGCATGGAGAAACCATCTCTACTAAAAATAGAAAAAAAATTAGCTGGGTGCCTGTCTGTAATCCCAGCTACTTGTGAGCTGAGGCAGGAGAATCCCTTGAACCCAGGAGGTGATCCCTTGAACCCAGGAGGCGGAGGTTGAAGTGAGCTGAGATCGCGCCACTGCACTCCAGCCTGGGCAAAAGAGCGACACTACGTCTCAAAAACTAGGTAAATAAATGAAATGCTCTTTAGTCTCTGAGCGTACCAGTAAGCATAACAAAGAATAAAAAAGAACCAGAGACATGCAGCTTCTACATTAGATTTTAACATCCAGAAATTAAAATCTGTTGATCTGCTGCTACTATTAATTTACCAGCATCTTCTCTGCTCAATAAGCTGAGAAAATCACATATTTAGAACATTTTAATCTCTCAATCTGGTACCTTTCAAGGTCCAAGCTCATCACTTTTTGTTTAATAATATACATATTAATAAATCTCACATACACATCCTTTCAAACTAGAAACTAAATATGTTGATGTTAACAATCGTTCTCAAAAGCTTTTGCTCTTTCCATGTATTTATTTAAAAAAACTGTATATATAAGAAAAATAATGGAAATCAAGAACCTCTATCAGCTTTATTAGCTGCAATGATTTGCATTATTTGCAATTATGTATAAGTTACAAGTAACATGTAATTATAACAAAACTTTAGTTTGAAAAATGTTTTATTCAGGAATTACATAATTTCAAATATCTTCCAAAATAGTTTCCTAGATTGCTACAAAAGAAATCTGATAAGAAATTTAAATCATTAAATATGTTTTACTACTATATACATACAGAATGCCAAGCAATAGTAGTCAGCCCTGGAATGCGTACCGTCTTGTTCTTCCTCACGAAAGGCTTGACCCATCATTTTGTATAGGCTATGTACAATAGGCAAAGTTCTGTATTCATGAATTTGACTTTAGCTGCCTCAGTTTATAGCTGTGGTAGTTTGTCCACTGGGGTGTCAAATTTGAAGTCTGTAGGAAACAGATCTGGGGCTCGAGGATAGATAAGTCTGTAGGACTGTCTGATTGTAACATCAGCAACACCAGCAATATCTCCAATTTCTAAAAGACAAAAATCAAAACATTAACTGTCACTTCCATCCTACCTCCTTTTTACTACCTGCATTGTAATTTGTGAGATATGACAGTAAAAAGTGCCAAACTTAAAGATAAAACCGGAAGTGCTAATTTCTAAAAACTAATAATGGAAATACATACTAAAAGGTGGAAAGTGGGAGCTAAAGTTAGTAACAATAAAAATGGTACAAGTAGTTACTACATTACAGGGCTGTCAATGTTTTAAAGGGTTTAACTAATATAAAACATGAAGCCAGGCGCAGTGGCTCACGCCTGTAATCCCAGCACTTTGGGAGGCCGAGGCGGGTGGATCACGAGGTCAAGAGATCAAGACCACCCTGGTCAACAAGGTGAAACCCCGTCTCTACTAAAAATACAAAAATTAGCTGGGCATGGTGGTGCGTGCCTGTAATCCCAGCTACTCAGGAGGCTGAGGCAGGAGAATTGCTTGAACCCAGAAGGCAGAGGTTGCGGTGAGCCGAGACCGTGCCATTGCACTCCAGCCTGGGTAACAACAGCGAAACTCCGTCTCAAAAAACCAACCAACAAAAAAAATGTGAATAGTCTTCATATCTTAGCACTAGGGGTGTTATATTATACTGGATATCATATTTAGAACTGCTCCTTTTTCTTTATAAATCTTTCTGAGGATTACAAAAGTACTCCACAGATACATTATTGTAAAGAAATTCACTTTATATTTCTGTGTTTGAAAGCTCCCATGTAAAATCTCCCCTCGCTAACTTCTGTTAAAAGGTCCTTATTAAAAACAAAATGTGACACTATAAATATTGTTCTATAATTTTTTTCTATGTAATACATCAGAGATCAACAGCTATTTATTAAACCATATGTACATTTTTAGATTTTTTTCACTGATACAAGCACATACTTAAGCAAGTATTTTGAGCTCACATGAACATTTCTTCTGTTATAGAATCCTAACAGATCTACTTTTACCCTTTAAAGTCACTATCCCTTTTTTCCTTTCAAAGTCATTAAAAGAAATAACAAAGGACTGCCACTAAAATATCTGGTTAAGTATTATGAATGCTTTATTAAAATGGATTTTTAAACATCATTTATTTATTTAGAGATAGAGTCTCACTCTGTCACCCAGGCTCACTACAACTTCTGTCTCCCGGGTTCAAGAAATTCTCCTGCCTCAGCCTCCTGAGTAGCTGGGATTATAGGCACCTGCCACTATACCCAGCAAATTTTTGTATTTTTAGTAGAGATGAGGTTTCACCATGTTGCCCAGGCTGGTCTCAAACCCCTGACCTCAGGTGATCCACCCGCCTTGGCTTCCCAAAGTGCTGGGATTACAGGTGTGAGCAACCATGCCCAACCTAAACATATTTTAATACAAACTCATTTTACCACCTTTTCAGTTGATTCAAATCAGTGAGATTCTAGTGATTTTCACTGTGAATGCTTCCCATCACTGTGCAATTAGCTAATTTTAAATTTCTTTATCTCACTGCATTATTCTAGATCTAAATACCAATAAATGCCAACAATTTGACTGTCAATTGCCTGCTGTGCAGGGAAGAAAAGGACCTTAAATTCAAAGATATTTCATATAAAGCTAAAAAGCAAAAAGCACCAGGATTAATGTTTTTGTGTTGCTCATTAGAATAAACTTTACAACTAGGAATGTGCCTCAAGAACCAACTGTCTAGCTCCGACTTCTCAATTTTATTAAAGATTCAAAATTTCCTTAAAACATGAGTGAAGGCCAAAGGGAATGGACAATGGCTCATTTAAGTAACTAATGATTGCCTTCCTTTCTCTAATTATTCCTCTGTATCATTTATGACTTTTATCAACATATAGCCTAAGCTGAAGGCTGCTGTGAATAGGATATTACAAAGTTATTGAGGCCAGCAATTCACTAACTCATTTTTTTGTGTGTTTTGAGACAAGAGTCTCTCTGTCTCCCAGGCTGAAGTACAGTGGTGGGATCTAGACTCACTGCAACCTCTGCCTCCCAGGTTCAAGAGATTCTCGTGTTTCAGCCTCCTACAGGTGTGCACCACTGTGCTTAGTTGATTTTTGTATTTTTAGGAGAGACGAGATTTGACCATGTTGGCCAGGCTGGTCACTGCACCTAGCTTGTGAATTTCTTTACATGCATTTGCTCATGAATAATTTCTATAAACCTCAAAGATTTGGAAAGGAGTAGTCACTTCTAAATTTAAAAGGGAGTCTTTGGGCCAGGCGTAGTGGCTTGTGCTTAAAATACCAGCACACTGGGAGGTGGAGGTGGGCAGGCGAGTCACGAGGCCAGGAGTTTGAAACCAGCCTGGCCAACATGGTGAAACCCCATCTCTATTAAAAATCCAATAATTAGCTGAGCGTGGTGCCACGTGCCTGCAGTCCCCGTTATTCAGGAAGTTGAGGCACGAGAACCGGAAAACTGAGACACGAGAATAGCTTAAACCCAAGAGGTGAAGGTTGCAGTCAGCTGAGACTGTACTACGCCCTCCAGCCTGGGCAACAGAGCAAGACTGTTTAAAAAAAAAAAAAAGGAAAAACAAAAAGAAATCCACTTAATACTTCTGGTGAAAGTTTTCCTACAACACTAAATTCAAACATGGTTTTAGAAGGCTATTTACATCTACTTATTTCAGAATTTGTATTAGGAAACTGTAAAATACTGTACAAGATGAAAAAAAAAACACCAGGCTTCACAGAATGTTAAAGGTTGATAGCCAACACATATTTTACAGTGTGTCTATCTGTAGGATCCCATGCCAAGCAGTGAGAAACAACGCATGCCTCCCTGACCCCTAAGATTTAAAAAGGTAAGTTTGGGGAGGAAATGAGTATTCAAAATGATCAGGAGGAAGACATTTAGGGGACAAAAAAAGAACTTGTAAAAATAAAAGATACACAAACTAAAGTTTTTTTTTTTGAGATGGAGTTTTGCTCTTGTTACCCAGGCTGGAGTGCAATGGCGCGATCTTGGCTCCTGGGTTCAGGCAATTCTCCTGCCTCAGCCTCCCGAGTAGCTGGGATTACAGGCACGCGCCACCATGCCCAGCTAATTTTTTGTATTTTTAGTAGAGACAGGGTTTCACCATGTTGACCAGGATGGTCTCGATCTCTTGACCTCGTGATCCACCCGCCTCCACCTCCCAAAGTGCTGGAATTACAGGTGTGAGCCACCACACCCAAGTTTTTTTTTTTTTATAGGTTTCTCTCTCTGAACATTTTATTTATGAGCTACTTAAAAGCAAAACATATTTTTTTTTTTTTGAGACAGAATTTTGCTTGTTATCCAGGCTGGAGTGCAAAGGCGTGATCTCGGCTCACTGCAACCTCCACCTCCTGGGTTCAAGCAATTCTCCTGCCTCAGCCTCCTGAATAGCTGGTTCTACAGGTGCGCGCCATCATGTCCAGCTAATTTTTTGTATTTTTAGTAGAGATGGGGTTTCACCATGTTGACCAGGATGGTCTCGATCTCTTGACCTTGTGATCCACCTGCCTCGGCCTCCCAAAGTGCTGGGATTATAGGCGTGAGCCACCGCGCCCGGCCCAAAACATATTTTCTTAATGTTTTGAGGCTGAGGAATGATATCTTATATGTGGGTCTTTTTTGTTTGTTTGGTTTTTTGATACAGAGTCTTGCTGTCACTCAGGCTGGAGTGCAATGGCACCATCTCGGCTCACTGAAACCTCTGCCTCCCAAGTTCAAGCAATTCTCCTGCCTCAGCTTCCCAAGTAGCTGGGCCTACAGGCTCATTTTGTAAGTTTAGTAGAGATGGGGTTTCACCATGTTGGTCAGGCTGGTCTCGAACTCCTGACCTCAGGTGATCCACCCACCGTGGCCTCCCAAAGTGCTGGGAATACAGGTATGAGCTGCCACACCCGGCCATACGTGGGTCACTGATATTTACCTGCTTCACACTTAAAATGGAAAAACAATCACATGCTGCAAGATTCCCAGTTTACTGCCAACTTCCTGGTGACAAACCCTACCTTTCTGGGTCCTCTTTTCAGCTGATGCCTGTGAGGCCATGTAAATAGCTGCTGCTGCCACAGAGATGGGGCTCCTCCCGGGAACCAAGTCCAATTCCACAGCTTTACGGGCTATATGTGTAGCTGCCATCTGCACTTGTTTAGGAAGACAAAGATTGGAACAGAACCTGGACATAAAGTCCCCAGTTGTAATCAAATCCACACTGGTTTCTAGTGCTTTCAAAATAAGTTTAAAACACCGACCAATTTCTTTCTTAGAAATTCGTGATACAGCACATATTTCTAAAAGAAAAAAAGTTTAAATATGTCAATTATTTAAGCCATATAGTTCATTTTAAAATCTACCATTTCTTATTATAAACATAATATCCATTCTAATTGCAAAACATTCAACCATGCCTTAAAGATGAAACCCTAATCCTCTCAGTGATACTTCCCACAGAGGTAACTGCAAATTTCTCAGTTAACTTTAATGTTCACCACACTTTGTTTTTGAGACAGTCTGTCGCCCAGGCTGGAGGGCAGTGGCATGATCCCGGCTCACTGCAACCTCCACCTCCCGGGCGCAAGTGATTCTTCTGCCTCAGCCTCCTGAGTAGCTGGGACTACAGGCATGCACTACCTCGCCTGGCTGATTTTTGTATTTTTAGTAGAGATGAGGTTTCACCATTTTGGCCAGGCTTGCCTTGAACTCCTGAACCTCAGGTGATCCACCTGCCTCGGCCTCCCACAGTGCAGGGATTACAGGTGTGAGCCACTGCGCCCAGCCTAATGTTCTTCACTCTTTAAATTTAGGTCTTAATCTTTCAAAATACTAACTTCTCTAAAGATTAATTCATGCAAGTAAATTTCTTTAAAGAAAAATTCTTTGATATTTACATATTAATCTGTTGTAAGCAGTGTGTTATCAAGATGAAAGAAGCTAAAGAGTGTCTCTTAGGCAACACAATGTCATGTGTACATGAAATCCCTGCGATTATGAGCTATGTCTCGATGAGAAAAAATACCTGACCGTGTTATTCCCAGATGCAACCACCATACACTTTCTGAAGAAATTTAACAAAAGCCCTGTTGTACTTATAACAACAACAAAAAAAATGATCAAGGCCATCACCTCTTCACTTTTACATAAGAAAACGTAAAAAATACTGACTGGATGAATGAAGGGTAGTATAGTCTTCAGCTAAACTTGAGCTTTGGTAGTGAAAGTCAGTGTGCAACATTGTGAACTACTGGTCACGTATTCACATGTAACTGCAAACTAGATGAAAAATACCAGTTTTTTCTAAGCCTCCAACTGAAGTGTAAAAGTGCAAACAATATATCTCAAGAGAAAAAACTTCACTGACATTTTCTTTTTCTTTTTTTTTTCTTTTCCTGAGACAGATTGTTGCTCTGTCATCCAGGCTGCAGTGCTGTGGCATGATCTCAGCTCACTGCAACCTCCGCCTCCCGGGTTCAAGCAAATCTTCTGCCTCAGCCTCCCAAGTAGCTGAGAGTAAAGACAGACACTACCACACCTGTTAATTCCAGCACTTTGGGAGGCTAAGGCGGGAAGATCACCTGGTGTCAGGAGTTCGAGACCAGTATGGCCAACATGGCAAAACCCTGTCTCTACAAAAATTAGCTGGGCGTGATGGCACGTGCCTGTTATCCCAGCTACCCAGGAGGCTGAAGCAGGAGAATTGCTTAAACCTGGGAGGCGGAGGTTGCAGTGAGCCAAGATTGCACCACTACACTCCAGCCTGGGTGACAGAGCAAGATTCCATCTCAAAAAAAAGAAAAAAAGCTAAAAACTTACCTTTAAATGTCCTAGGAACCCCTTCTTGTCTACAGGCAATATAGAGACAAGCGGAAGCTATAGCATCGTTAGCTCTTCCCTTCAGGCTCTTCTGTTCATACACTTGCTTGAATAAATTATTCGTTCGATCCTTCAAAGCAGAGAAACTAAGTTTAACTCTATGCTATTTAATTAGTTGCAATATCAAAATTTCATGTGTTCGTTAAATTATGCCAAGTCAATGCCAGAATGGCTTAGAGGAGGTAGACAAGAACTTACAACTATATTTCGAGGTAAATTGATTCTGTCTGCCATGGTAGTGATTTCTTTGAATGCATTCATCATTGCCCGATCAGAACTGCTCATTGTTCTCCGATTCTGGTACTTAGAATTCCCAAATTCATCAAAACTTGCAGCTCCTGTACCCTACAAAACAGTTTTATAACTATGAAAAACAATTTTGCAGAGCATGAATAATGGACAATTTCTGTGAAAAAAAACTTACACGATCTGATTCTATATAGATTAGAAATCTGCACTGTGCATCCTGCCTATCCCACAAGTAAAAAATGTATCAAGTTAAGGTGTTTGAAAGAGGGTTTCTATCAAATACTTAAGGAACAGGTAATTCTAAACAACTGTTAAAGAACATAGAATATGAGAAGCTTAAAGCATATAAATAAAAATATGATTGAAAACTAGACAAAACGGAAAAACAGTCCAATTTCACTTAAAAATAAGATTAAAAATATTAAATATTAGCAAACAGAATCCAATAGCATATTAAAAGGTAGTATATCATGATCAAGTGGAGACTGTTCCACAAGCTATTATTAGAAAATCAAATAACATAAAACATTATATTAATAGATCTGAGAAAAATCATGATCGTCTCCAAAGGTGCTAAAAAGGTAAGTGAACAAAATTCAAGTTCATCTTTGATAACTCATAGTACACTACAAATGAGTAATTCTTTACAACATAAAACCCCTCTGCCCAAAGCTAGTAATATAATTAATGGAGAAACATCACCAGCACCATCACCAAAATCACAAGACAAAGGCACTTCCTACTCCTACTGTTTTTTAACACTGGTTGGAAAAACTAGTCAATATTATTAAGAAAGAGAAAAATCGGAAGTACAAAACTGGAAAGGAGGTGATAAACTATTTGCAGATACTAACTTTATATATCTGGAATATGCAAGAAAATCACTAAAAAACAGCTGATGCTATAAATCATAAAGGCAGCAAGGTCAAGATAGAGAAATCAATACCCTTCATATGTATAATCAACCATTTAGAAGACAATGAAAGCAAGTATTTCAATTACAGCAACAACAAAAATCCAGGAATAAACTTGAGAAACACGATGAGATGTTCATGAAGAAAACTTTCAAACATCTCTGAAGGCTACATAAGATACATAAGGAAATGAAAAGGCATTTTGATATGAGTTTTTGGACACAAGATTTCTCATGAAGAAGTCAATTTTCCCTATGTCAATTTGCAGATTAATCTGACCAAAAGCCCAGTGAAAATATTAAATATTAAAAAACAGACCAAGTGTGGTGGTACACGCCTGTGGTCTCAGCTACTCGGGAGGCTGAGGCAGGAGGGTCACTTAAGCCTGGGAGTTTGAGGCTGCAGTTAGCTATACCACTGCACTCTAGACGGGGTGACAGAAAGAAACCTTGCACTCTAGACTGGGTGACAGAAAGAAACCCTGTCTCAAAAGAACAAACAAATGGGCCGGGTACGGTGGCTCACGCCTGTAATCCCAACACTTTGGGAGGCTGAGGTAAGTGGATCACCTGTGGTCAGGAGTTGGAGACCAGCCTGATCAACATGGCAAAATCTCATCTCTACTAAAAATACAAAAATTAGCTGGGCATGGGGGCAGGCTCCTGTAATCCCAGCTACTCGGGAGACTGAGGCAGGAGAATCACTTAAACCCGGGGATGGATGCTACAGTGAACTGAGATCACGCCACTGCACTCCGGTCTGGATGACAGAGCAAGACTCCATCTCAAAAAACAAACAAAAAACCCCACAGAAAACAGAATCCAATAATGCACTGAAAGGTAGTATATATCAACCATGTGGAAACTATTTCACAAATACATTATTAGAGAACCTAATAACATAAAACATTGTATTAACAGAGCTAAGGAAAATCAAGACAAACTCCAAAGATATAAATAATGCAAGTGAACAAACCTAAACTTTTTGTTTTAAAAAATGAAACAAACTTAACTTTTAAATGGAAAAGACTAGTGAAGAAAATGCTGAAAAGGAAGAGCAATGAGGGAAAACTAGAGTTAATAAATATTAAAACAGTGTGGTATGGCATTTGACTAACTGGACCAGGACAAGACAAGACAAATCCAGAAATATTCCCAAGTACACATGGAAATTTATTATATGAAAAATGTAGCAGCTTAAAAATATTTTTATCTTGGCCAGGCACGATGGCTCACGCCTATAATCCCAGTACGTTGGGAGGCTGCAGTGGGCAGATCACTTGACCCAAGAATTTGGGACCAGCCTGGGCAACATGGCAAAACTCTGTCTCTAAAAAAAAACAACAAAAACTTAGCCAAATGTCATGGCCCACACCTATGATCCCAGCTACTCGAGAGGCTGAGGTGGAAGGATTATCTAAGCCTGGGAGGTAGAGGTTGCAGTGAGCTGAGATCATGCTACTGCACTCCCACTTGGGCGATAGTGTTAGACCTTGTCTCAAAAACAAAATATGCAGGATTCAGCATGGTAATTCATGCCTGTAATCCCAGAGCTTTGGGAGCCTGAGGCGGGAGGATTGCTCAAGACCAGGAGTTTAAGTCCAACCTGGACAACAGAGAGAGATTCTGTCTATACAAAAAAATTTTTTTTTGAGACAGAGTCTTGCTTTGTCACCCAGGCTGGAGTACAGTGGCATTATTTCGGTTCACTGCAACCTCTGCCTCCTGGGTTCAAGCAATTCTCCTGTCTTAGCCAGCAGAGCAGCTGGAATTACAGGTGCCCACCACCATGCCTGGCTATTTTTTTTTGTATTTTTAGTAGAGATGGGGTTTCACCATGTTGGCCAGGCTGGTCTTGAACTCCTGACCTCAAATGATCCGCCAGCCTTGGCCTCCCAAAGCCAAGGGATTACAATCATGAGCCACTGCGCTCAGCCAAAAAAATTTTTTAAATCAAAACCAACCAAGTGTGGTGGTATGTGCGTGTAGTGCTAAGCTACTTGGGAGGCCAGGGCAGGAGGATCACTGGAGCCCAGATGTTTGTGCCTTCAGTGAGCTTTGATTATGCCATTGTACTTACTCCAGCATGTTGCCCAGACAAGTTTTCTTTTTCTTTTTTTAGACGGAGTCTCACTCTGTCACTCAGGCTGGAGTGTAGTGGTGCGATCTCAGCTTATTGCAACTTTTACCTCTGGGGTTCAAACAATTCTCTGCCTCACCCTCCTGAATAGCCAGGATTACTGGCACCCACGACCACACCCAGCTAATTTTTGTATTTTTAGAAAAGAGGGTTTCACCATCTTGGCCAGGCTGGTCTTGAACTCCCGATCTCGTGATCTACCCGCCTCAGCCTCCCAACATGCTGGAATTACAGGAATGAGCCACTGTGCCTGGCCAGACAAGTTTTAGACAAGACTTGTTTGAAAAAGACAAAAAAGGGGACCATGCAATAATACATATGAAGTTATAAAATAGTATATACATCTTTGATTAGTTCTTAGTAATACTGTCAATATTACTTCCAACTCGGATAACAGAGTAAGAGAGTCAGGCTGCCAAGGAAATTATGCTACTGCCTTACATACTAATAGCAGCTACCACTTACTTGAGCACACAGTACATATTATAGAAATACTTTACATACATTCTCATGAAACCCTCAAAATCTCTGTAAGTATTCTTATACTCATTTTACACCAAGAAATGTAAAAGTTTAGATAAAAACTTACTAATATTAGAAAAGAGGCTACACTGACCTCCCATTTATCTTAGGTGGTACAAAGGGAAAAGAGAAGACATTCTTGATAACCAAAGAATATATCAATATTAACTCATGAAGATCACACTATACTCATGTTTTGTGTGTATACAGAATGTGATTTATGAAAAAAAGAGCCTGATACAAAGCCTCTCTAATTTAGATTTAATGATCTTCCCCACTTTAAAATGGAAGAAATATACAAGTTAGCCATCATTCACAATGATATTACTAGCAAATCTTATTAGATAAGTCCAGATTCTCCATTGGTGCAGTAACTGATACTTTTGCAAAGTCCCCAAACTCTCAGGTCACTTCGCAACTCTCAATCACTCTGCAATTGGTAATGCCTGCCAAATGGACTTATTACCTTGCCAATCATGGTAGACAAATCTCCATCACTCAGAAGAGGATTCTGAGAATCTCCAACTCGAGATGGATCTTTTGTTGCTTTGTCATTGCTGAAAGTTCTCCATTCAGATCCCACATCGATAACACGGTCACCTAAGAATATATGCACACATATGAATCATTTTGTCAAGATAAGGTGTACTTAACTACACTGTCCAATGCCCAACTAAGCCATTTTATTTCCAGGAAATCTTAACATGGACATCTAGGCCTCAGCTTAAATATCACATTTCAGACATTTGTCCTAAAGAATTCCTTTAACTATTGTGCCAGTCCCATAATAATCCTCTTGAAACATTATGCTACGATACTCTAACTCTTGGAAGAACAAGAATTAATCAAAAGTAGCAAAGTATAGCTGTTCATATGTGATGCAAAGGTAGTAATGATGATTCAGAACCAAATTTTGCATAAAATTTGCAACAGGCATGGGAGAAAACATTTTTCAGAATGGTATTAATGTACATAATTTAATATTAAAAAATCACTACATTTTCATGAGAAATGCTTCACAGAAAGTAAGCCTAAGCTTCTGTTCCAAAGTAACAATTTGATGAAAAATATATTTGGTCAAATAATTTATAAAGAATAAACTTCAAGCCTAGAATCACTGAAAAGAAAGCCTGGTAGGCAAACTCTTTTCTTTAAGCAAAGAGACAGCATCTAAACATATGTCAGAAAAAGCAGAAACAAGCAAACCTTATTAATTACTGTTTTGGTGAGAAAGCTCAATGTCTGGCAATACCTTCAAAGTAGACAAAAGTTAACACTGAAAACTTACACATGCTATTCATTGTGCCCTTTTGTAAATGTTCTCATTTAATCTTCACAGCCTTAGAAACGTAGGTACCGCTTTTATTGCCACTTTACAAAGAAGATTAACTAGTCTAAGATCACACAAAACAGAAATGCACATCATAGTCTGTTCTACACTGCAATTGTAGAACACAAGCTGTTTTAGTTCAGTGTGATGAAGCTGAACATAGGAACCAGATCTTTGTGTATACCCAGCAAGCAGAAAGAAAGAAACTGCAGAAACCAGTTACTGCAGCAATCAGAAGTTACAGTATTAACAGTCAATTAATATAAGAGTCTAAACTCTGCCATTTGCTGCTTAGCCTTGGAATATTACTTCATTTTTATGTCTTTATTACCTCAGCTTTAAAATTCTCATTAACCTCATATTTTAAAGATTAAATAAGTTATTATAATGCCCATTTATAGTGCATGTGAAGTGCTTCAAAAGTAGTACTAAGTGCTCAATATTTGCTACGTCCTGCTATGAAAATTAGAAAGATAGCAAATATTCTGAGTTCCTCCATTTTTGGTGGGGGTGGTAAGGGGGAGGCATCAGTTTAAAACATGAATCTCCATAGAAGACTTCAAAAGTTTCTAAATGCTTTGTTGTAAGTATTTGATCAGGAGGACAGCAAAGAACAGAGAAAACGGAAGGAATTCCACCTAGACCATGCTTTTTAATTTCTACATGAAAATTAAACGCTCATAAACAATTAGAGTATAGTGACATATAATTTAATCTTACTGACAGATTTAAGAAAAGGCCAGGCATGGTGGTTCACACCTATAATCCTAGCACTTTGGGAAGCTGAGGAAGATCACTTGAGCCCAGGAGTTCGAGACCAGCCTGGGCAACATGGTGAAACCCTGTCTCTACAAAAAATACAAAAACAAATTAGCTGGGTGTAGTGTCATGTACCTGTAGGGAGGCTGAGGTGGGAGGACCACCTGAGCCCAGGAGGTTGAGGTTGCAGGGAGCCGTGACTGCACCACTGCACTCTAACATGGGTGAGTGAGACCCTTTCTGAAGTAAACAGATGCTCAACAGAATGATTCATTCCCGAAGGCTCTGACAATTTTTTTTTTTTTTTGAGACAGGGTCTCAATCTGTCACCCAGGCTTGAGTACAGTGGCGCAATTTCAGCTGACCACAGCCTCTGCCTCCTAGGCTCAAATAAGCAGCTACAGATGTGCACCATTGCCACCTGGCTAATTTTTGTATTTTTTGTAGAGATGGGGTTTTGCTATGTTGCCCAGGCTAGTCTTGAACCCCCAGGTTCAAGCAATCCATTCACCTTGGCCTTCCCAAGTGCTGGGATTACAGGAGTGAGCCACCACACCCAACAGAAAAACGTTTTTTCTTTAAGCCGCTGAATCACCAGGGGAAAAGCAGATTATCACTTGGACTACCATGTGTCCACATTACAAAGGGATTGAGATTAGAGGCAGAGTTCCCATCTGCCATTCCTGTATGCAATGAGAACAGGCAAGGAAGGCAGAAGCAGGGCGGTAAGTTAGAAGACAATTTTAATGTATCTCATTGAGTAGGTGGCCTGAAATAAGGAGAAAAGTGTTAGAGATGGACGGCATTACATGGATTTCTGTTTCCTCCTCCTCATAATAAACATCACTAAACTTAGAAAGCAATTCTAATTATACAGATTTTAAAAAGATACTTTGAAGTATAAATTGTCATTGTGCACCGAAACCTTACCATTGTGCAGTGAATATTATTCACCAACAAGCCCATTTCTCTAAGAGATCACACTAAAGAGACCAATTTTTCTTTCTTTTTAGAAAAGAATACTTGCTCACTAAAAAAAGGTATGTTAGAAAAAAATTACCTGCATTCCCAATACCCAGTGACGACCACTATAGTTTCATATATGGTCTCTGTTTTCATTCGTGTGTACACACCTATTTTGTATGTTTTCCTAAAATTTAAATTAGATATTATGCCTGTTTCATGACAAGCTCTTTTCACTAAATTCATCATAAACACCAACATAGTATTTTTAGACAAAATTTAGTCCCTTCAACAGCATCCAACAATTAAAGTGATACAAGGGTGTTCCCATGCACTTATGTTTTCAAGGAGAGAAAAAATAATCTAACTTCCCTATTTGACAAAATAAAAACACAAACATGCACAGAACAAAAACCACCAAAAATCACCATGGCCTTCAAACCCAGCTTAAAAAAAAAACATCAAATGTCATCATTAACTTGTAATATTTTTATTAACATAGATGAATGTATTAAGAGAACGGCATAAATGAAAAGGCAGGAAGGTATGCCCAGATCTTTTAAGTCTATCTAGAAATCTAAAGGTAAACCATTAGTTAGCGAAGATGCTTCATTTCATAGCATTTTCTGAAACACCTTACCATGAGTTACATTTGCCGTCTGCTTTACATTATTTTTAAAAAGACAAGATGGATCTTTTTAAGGTAGTACAGTATAAATAGAAAACACAGCACTGGGTGGTGATGTAATTTTTCCACATACGTAAGAATGATCTAAATGACTCATTCAAGAATCTGTGGTTTGTGCCCTTTTTTTTATATTTAACTATTCAAAAGAGCACTCATAAGGAATAAAGTTTCCAAAATAACTCAATTAGCATACCATGAAACTACAACTAGTCCAGCAGATTAAGTGCATGAGTAACAAGAAATAGGGCAAGTCCATTCAGAAAAAAAAAAATAGAATACATAAAGGATTTTCATTTGAGGAAAATCTAAATGGAGTAGTATTTTTACAAGTTACTCTGGAAGAAAGCTGCAAGACAAAATTTTTTCAAGGGTGAGGTGGTACAAGACAGCCATGCCTGGGTACAATCAACCTTTGAAAAGAAAGAAGCCAGCCAATTAGCAACACACAAGACTTAACATATCCTTTAATGCTCTAGAAACAGAGAAACATATGAACTTCCACTAGTTTCCTTCTTTACCACACACTGATTTTAGTATAGTTAACACCAGATAGTCTATGTGAAGATTCATAGTACCAAAGAAAACTTAACACTACTACTATAATACATATATGTGCACTATTCCTTCCTCATCTATAGTGTGATCTTCAACATTTTTAATCAAGTTCCCCATCCAAAAAAGTAAATGCACCCAATATGTGTATTTATGTGTTTCACACATGCATAGCTCTCAATCCTATAGAGTGATGTCAAAGAGTATTAACTAAAACATTTTACCATATTCTGAAGAGAATACAAATTCTATCTCTTTATTTTCAAGAAGAAACCAAGAATACTCGTCAAAAATCATGTACCATTAAAGTGGTTCAGTCACTTTGGCATCTATCTATAATCTGGCAATTCTATTCTTAAATTTGAGTTGGCCTTCTCTATCTGTGGTATTCTGCATCCACGGATTCAACCAACTGCAGATTGAAAATGTTTGGGGAAAAAATGCCGCTGCACTGA